GAAAGGAGGCTGCGACCACACAAAAGGCCACACCATCTTGGTCTTCATACCTACGATCGAAAGTTCATTAAGTCTTGAAGCTATCAAAGTCAGCTTTGGAGGTTTCATAAACACATGCACATAGACACACCCAAATAGAGTAACAAAATTATTCCATACCCTTTGAATTTCGTTTCGTTGGAGTAGGTTGGAATTCTAGCTTTGCTTGTAGTCCGTATAAAAATGGATTCCACCTCTGGGAGTGTCTATTGAGAGACAAACATAAGCTTGGCGTTTCTTCCCCAGATGTATTTATTACTTAAACTAGAAACACAATTGTTCCGGGGCCATTATCCGCTCTCCTGATAAAATTTAGTTCCCTACTTTTGTATAAAACGAGAGGTAGTCTATCGTCTGAATTTTTTTATTGCGGGAAATCCTCATGCGAGGTAATCACTTTGGTCTGAAACGTTGCTTCATCGTTATTAGATATATGTTTGAGTATGGCAGTATGGATGTTTCCGACATCATTTTTCTGGCACTTTTTGGTTCCATTTAAACTTTCATGGCCAAATGACATGAATTAAAGTAATGAACCTGATTTTCTCTGAAGTCGATTTCGAACCACATAAATGCCACAAAGTATGAGCAAGTGAGAGCTGGTCTCATCTGGCTACATCTAAATGTCTTTAAATAGTCCACTATCATTTATTTATTCTTGCAGAAAAACTTAAAAGTAACAATAAACTTGATATTGCTACCGAAACATTTTCTTTAGTGTAATCATAATGTCAATTTTCCTAATTCCCTGATATTTATTATCATACTATTATTATCAATTTAGTAGATGTTGTAGTTGAAACAATTTACCTCATCGATTTACATCTATCTCATGGGATAATTGCGGCAAAACGTTTGACTTAAGGACACCACTTATTCTTTTTTTAGCTACTGAAACTAAATCAGTGTGATCTCAGGGAACGAAAATTTGTTGCTAACTGCGTCTATTGTCTAAATGCTGTCATATGGCACGGACCGCGAAGAGTCGTAAAGACAAGTTCATAAAAAATTGGTTACCCGGTTGCATTACGAAGCTTCTAATTGGCTTATTTATTGTTTATATTTTATTCCAAGGTTTAAAATGCTTCGTCTGAGCCAACATGTTGAAATTGATCCAAAATATCGTCAACAAGGAATAAATGGGTAGTGAAATGAAATCTCAAGATAGGCGATGGCTCTCTTCGATTCTTCAACCATCTCAAAGTATTTACCCATTTACACTCGACGAGTCAACCTGCCTTTATAATAAGGATTATTTCGACGTTAGGGGCGATTGTAAAATCAAGGCGTGCTTCACTTCTACTTACATAACAGGGCTAAACCTCATTTTGTGCATACGGAACATATAAAGTTAACTTGGCCAGACTATAAGTTGT